CGACCGCACGCGCCTGACGTGGGGGGTGGCCGTGCTGCAGGAGGTGGCGGCTGCGGGGGCACAGATGATCGCTCCCCTGGCCGAGAACGAGGGGCTGCAGGCCCTGAAGCTGGAGGACCTGGCCTTCAAAGCCAGCGAGCAGGTGGGGACCCCCGCTCGGCCGCCCCTCGAGCCCTGCCACGCTGTGGGGTGAAACTGGGACCTGTCTGGGGTGGGGGCTGGGGGAGCCTTGAGGAGACTGGGACTGAACTGGGAACAGAGACTGGGACTGAGCTGGGAACAGAGACTGGGACTGAACTGGGAATACGGCCCAGTAATGAACTGGGAATATGGACTGAGGCTGAACTGGGAACAGAGACTGGGAACTGAGCTGGGAATAGGGACTGGGACTGAACTGGGAATATGGACTAGGACTGAACTGGGAGTACGGCCTGGGAATTAACTGGGAATATAGCCCAGGAATGAACTGGGAATATGGACTGGGACTGAACTGGGAATATGAACTGGGACTGAACTGGGAGTACGGCCCAGGAATGAACTGGGAATATGGCCCAGGAATGAACTGGAAATACAGCCCAGGACTGAACTGGGACTGCACTGGGAATACGGCCCAGGACTGAACTGGGAATATGGCCCAGGACTGAACTGGGAGTACGGCCTGGGAATTAACTGGGAATATGGACTGGGACTGAACTGGGAATAAAGACTGGAACTGAACTGGGAATATGGCCCGGGAATGAACTGGGAATATGAACTGGGACTAAACTGGGAATATGGCCCGGGAATGAACTGGGACTGAACTGGGAATACGGACTGGGAGTTAACTGGGAATGTGGCCCGGGACTGAACTGGGAATACAGACTGGGACTGAACTGGGAATACAGACTGGGACTGCACTGGGAATACGGCCCAGGACTGAACTGGGACTGCACTGGGAATACGTTCAGGGAACACAGAGACCTTTGCGGTGCCCAGCTCCGTGCTGCGGCCGTGGCTCTGAGCCCAGCCCGGGGGTCCCGGCCACCCCCTCCCCGTCCTTTGCAGATCTACGGCACCCAGGGCGTCAACCCCTACGAGTGCCTGCGCCAGTCCTGCGGCATCCTCATCGCCACCATGAACAAGATGGCCACGGCCATGCAGGAGGGCGAGTACGACGCCGACAGGCCGCAGACCAAGGTGGGCTCCTGGGGGGACGGACGGGGCCGCAGGATTCGGGCACCAAGAGCGGGTCCCCACAACTGTCCCTCTGGTC